GGAGCAGCCACTCCACTCCAGTCTGGGTGACAGGGTGAGACTCCAACTCAAAAAAAAAAAAAAGACAAAAAAACCCTCTTTTAAAATTTATTTATTCACTTATTTTGAGTCAAAGTCTCATTCTGTTACCCAGGCTGAAGTGCAGTGGCATGTTCTTGGCCACTGAAGCCTCGACCTGCTGGGCTCAGGCGACCCTTCCACTTCAGCCTTCCAAGTAGCTGGAACCTCAGGCGTGTGCCACCACGCCTGGCTAATTTTTTTCTGATTTATTGTAGAGACCAGGTCTTGCCATGTTGCCCAGGCTGGTCTTGAACCCATGGGGTCAGTCAATCCTGTCGCCTCAGTCTCTCAAAGTGCTGGGATTATAGGTGTGAGCCACTGACCTGACTGATAACATCTCTTAAAATGTAGATTTGTAGCCAGGTGTGGCGGCTCACACCTATAATCCCATCACTTTGGGAGGCTGAGGTAAGAGGATTACCTGAGCCCAAGGGTTCCAGACCAGCCTGGGCAACATGGAGACCTCATCTCTGTAACAAACCAAAAAATTAGCCGGGTGACTTGGAAGGCTGAGGTAGAAAGATTGCCTGAGCCCAGCAGGTCAAGGCTGTAGTGGCTATGAGTGTGCCACTGCACTCCAGCCTGGGTGACACAGCGAGACTCCAACTCAAAAAAACACCCCAAAAATAAATAAGTAGTTTTTTTGTTTTTTGGCACCCCCAGTATACGTGATGGAATACTATTCAGTCATAAAAAAATTAAATCATGGCCGGGCTTGGTGGCTCAGTCAGTAATCCCAGCACTTTGGGAGGCCGAGGCAAGTGGACTGCCTGAGCCCGCAGGTTCGAGACCCACCTCGGCAACTTGGCAAGACCTCGTCTCTATAATAAATTTAAAAAAAAATTAGCCAGGTGTGGTAGCATGCGCCTGTAGTTCTGGCTACTTGGAAGGCTAAGGCAGAAGGATTGCATGAGTTCAGCAGGTCAAGGCTGCAGTGGACGGGAGTGTGCCACTGTACTCCGGTCTGGAGACAAAGTGAGACTCCAACTCAAAAAAAATAAAAAATAAAAAATAAAAAAAGAAATCATGTCATTTGCAGCAACATGGATGGAAGTGGAAGTCATTATGTTCAATGAAATAAACCAGACACAGAAAGTCAAATATCACATGTACTCATATGTAGGAGCTAAAAAAGCTGACTCATGGAGGTAGAGATAGAATGATAGTTATCAGAGGCGAGAAAGGATTTTGGGGTGTGTGTGCGTGTGTATGTGTGTTGCAGGGGATAAAAAGAATGTTGGTTAGTGGTTATAAACATAAAATTAAAGCCGGGCTTGGGGGCTCAGCCTGTAATCCCGCGCCTTTGGGAGGCTGAGGTGAGTGGATTGCCTGAGCCAGCGGATTCGAGACCCGCCTGGGCAACTTGGCAAGACCTCATCTCTACAATAAATAAAAAAAAAAATTAGCCGGGCGTGGTAGCGCACGCCTGTAGTTCCAGCTACTTGGAAGGCTGAGGCGGAAGGATTGCCAGAGCACAGGAGGTCGAGGCTGCAGTGGCCGGGAGCGGCCACTGCACTCCAGTCTGGGTGACAGAGACTCCAACTCAAAAAAACAAAAACAAACACAAAAACAAAACATAAAATTATACAGAAGAAATAAGTTCTAATGGTTGATAGTAGTAGAGTTGAGTGATTATAATTAACAATGTACTACACATTTAGACATAGCTAGAAGTGCGGATCTGAAATGTTCTCAACATATAGAAATAATAAATGCTTACAGTGATATCCTAAAGGCCCTGACTTCATCACTATACATTCTATTCACATAACAAAATATCATATGTACCCCATAAAATACGTACAAATATTGCATATCAATAGAAAAAAATAAGCAAAACAAAACAAAAAATGCCATATAAATTAAAGAGACTAGGCAGAAAAAAATTATACACTATATGTGAGTCCATTCATGTAGAACTCCAAAGAGAAGAAAAACTAATTTATGGTGTCAGAAATTATATAGGGCCGGGCTCGGTGGCTCAGCCTGTAATCCCAGCACTTTGGCAGGCCGAGGTGAGTGGACTGCCTGAGCCTATGGGTTCAAGACCAGCCGGGGCAATTTGGCGAGACTTCATCTCTACATAAATCAAAAATTAGCCAGGCATGGTAGTGTGTGACTGTAGTTCCAATTACTTGGAAGTCTGATGAGGAAGGATCACCGAAAACCAGCAGGTCGATGCTGGGTGGCTGTGAGTGTGCCACTGCACTCTAGGATTGCCTGAACCTGCGGGTTTGAGACCAGCTGGGACAACTTGGCAAGACCTCATCTCTACAATAAATCAAAAATTAGCCAGGCATGGGAGTGCAAGCCTGTAGTTCTGACTACTTGGAAATCTGAGGTGGAAGGATCGTCGGAGCCCAACAGGTTGATGCTGGGTGGCTGTAAGTGTGCCACTGCACTCTAGCCTGGGTAACAAAGTGAGACTCCAACTCAAAAAAAAAAAAAAGAAATTATATGGTATTTTTGAGGGATGGCTGAGGGGTGTTCACTGGAAAGGGATATAAGAGATCTTTTTGCAATGACAGGTATCTTGTTTTGGGTGATAGTTATTGCATGGGTTTGTCAAAACCTACTATATTCAACACAATATTTGTGAATCTTATCTTATATAAATAAATCTCAATTAAAAAATAAGCTGTTATAGAAGTGGTATGAGGGTTATTGGTGATTACTGAAGGTCCTTTTCTAAATTTAATGTAAAATGTTAAAAGATGGCCCAAAATTGAATTTTTGATTATTTTCCTTTTACTTACCCCAAGAATATACTGACAGGAATGAGGCTCTAGCATATATACAGTAACAGCATGAGGAGAATCTGATTCTTTACACCTAAAACAGAGAGTACTTTAAGGTCCTGCCCAAATTACATAAGACTATTTAAGTAAAATAAGTCTATGAAGCTGTAAAAATTCCATTTAACTGGACTCCATATAATTTAATAAATAATATAAATACTATAATTTTTTGGGGGGGGTTGAAGTCTCACTCTGTCACCCAGGCTGGGATGCAGTGGCAGGCTCCTGGCCACTGCAGCCTCGACCTGGTGGGCTCAGGTGATCCTTCCACCTCAGCCTTCCAAGTAGCTGGAACTACAGGCACGCGCCAACATGCCCGGCCAATTTTTTTTTCATTTACTGTAGAGATGAGGTCTTACCAAGTTGCCCAGGCTGGCCTCAAACCCGTGGGCTCAGGCAATCCTCTCACCTTGGCCACCCAAAGTGCTGGGATTACAGGCTGAGCCACTGAGCCTGGCCAAATAGTATAATTTAAGAATTAATAATTATACTTTCTATTTATATAAAACTTTTGTCCATAGAAAGCAGGCAGAAGAAAAAGGCACAAAGCATGATTTGATGGTCTTAACTTACTTTAGTTTTACAGTCACTTGTCTTGGTTTGTCAGTTATATCACAAATATCTCCATTTCCATAAAAATGTGACACCATCCTGAATCAAAGAAACATACAACTTTATTAAACTAAAATCTCACTAATTCAGAATAATTGTAATGGGTAGGGTGAGATGGTTAGAGGGATCAGTTTTGTATTAGTTTAAGACAACTGACTATAAATATCCTTTAAAAATGTTTTTAGAGTTATTTCAGAGACAATCCTTCAGATTTTATAAAGAGAATATAAATTAGAGATACTTTGTACTGGCTTAATTAATAATAATGACCTTCAACTTGCATATTATTTATTTGTATACAAATAGTTATGGTTAGACTGTAAAAAAAAGTTCTTGTTTTCTGAGTTGGAGTCTCACTCTGTCGCCCAGGCTGGAGTGCAGTAGCATGCCCACAGTCATCGCAGCCTAGACTATCTGGGCTCAAGATGATCCTTCCACCTCAGCCTTCCAAGTAACTGGAAGTACAGGCATGTGCCACCATGCCTGGCTAGTTTTTTGATTTATTGTAGAGATGAGGTCTTGCCATATTGTCCAGGCTGGTCTTGAACCCATGAGTTCAGGCAAGCCTCTCGCCTCTGCCTTCCAAAGTGCTGTGATTACAGGTGTGAGCCACGGCACCTAGCCTAGTTCTTGTTTTAAAGTTACTCATTTCAGCTGGGCTCTACAAAAAAAAAAAAAAAATAGCTGGGCATGGTGGCACATGCTTGTTGTTCCAGCTACTTGAAGGCTGAACTGGAAGGCTTGCCTAAGCCCAGTAGATCAAGGGTGCGGTGGCCATGAGAGTGCCACTGCACTTCAGCCTGGGTGACAGTGAGATTCCTAATGAAAAAACAAAAACAATAAAGTTACTAATTTCTCCAGCCTAGTATACTGTTGTATTTCCAACCTCCACCAGGCTACTCCCATTAAAACACTGTGCTGTAGGTACTATAGTACAAAAGCCATGCCTGGGTCAAGCTACAAACCTCAAATGAGCAGGCTCCAAAGAAAAGCTTTAATTCTGTCAGTCTAGCACTCCCCGGGCTTCACTATTGCACATAATGCCATATACTCTTTTCACATAAAACATATACTGGCAAGGATAAGACAATCAATTAGTATATTATAATACTTAACGTCTATGTCTTAATTTTGCTAACTTTGATTTTGGTTAGCCCCAAAATCACTCATTCAGCACACTCTGAAAACAATCTCAATACCATCTGCTCTAGGAAGGACAAAGGTTAACACCCAAGAAGAACAAAGGATGAATACTTTAACCCTTTGCACTCAAGAGACATCTCACAAATCACCTACCAGTAACTCAACCGCACTTTTTTTTTAAGGAAATAGTGAAAAACGAAGCACTTCATATTAAATAGTATAGCGTTGGAACCAGTTATTTTTCTTATATTTTCCTAAAGTGTGGTAATGTGCGAAACAATCACCGACATGCATTGCAGGTTCATTGATATATGTTGTAAAAGAGTAATTTGATGTCTTCCGACCTGGTGTTTTTCTATTTGAGCAGACAATAATGTCTCATTTTCTTCCTCTCACATTAATAATATGTAATTTATTGTCCAGTTTGTTGTTCGAAGAAGATGAGGAATGATGCACTCATAATTCCTGAAAATGGATCGATCATATCTCAGTATCTCAGTATATATTCCATCTCTTCATTTGCTTTTTCGGGCAATTTGAATGGAAAACTTCAAGAAAATATATATTTTCAAAAAATTTATGTCTGCATAAGTTTGTTCTGTATAATCACCAGCAATTTCTTTATGTCTTCTGAGAGGTAGCATTCAAGTGGTTTGCTACATTTGAGATGTCCCTTCAGAGGACACCTCAGTTATTCTTGGAAAATGAGATTAATTTACTTCTGTTAGGACAAAATATACCCATATAGCCCAAAAGAGATGTGAAGTCGTTTTTTAAAAAACCAGTATTTTTTTTAGTCAGGGTCTCACATTGTTGCCCAGGCTGGAGTGCAGTGGCACAATTATGGCTCACCACGGTCTCGACCTCCTGGGCTCAAGCAATCCTTCTGCCTCAGCCTTTCAGGTAGCTGAGACTACAGGCAAATGTCACCATGCCTGACTACTTTTTAACTTTTTGTAGAGATGAGTTCTTGCTATGTAGCCTAGAAAAGCCTGCCTTTTCTTTTATTTTTAAAATTTTAAAGATGTGAGGTACAATTCAGGGTTAGGTACGTAAGTGGTCATCATACAGGTGAAGTTTGGGCCTCCTACTGGTCCTCACTTCGCTTAGTTTGGAATCAGGTACGCTTATTAGTGTTATGTGCCCCCTTCTCCCCACCTTGGCAGTGACCTGCTACTGCCAATCCCTTTCTTACAGTATTATGATAAATGTTCAAAGTCTCACTTACGAGTGAGAACATGTCATACTCAGTTGTTTCTGTGATAGATCACTGAGTGTGATGGACTCTAAGTCCATCCAAGTTGTTGTGAGGCCCATAATTTTGTCCTTCTTTATAGCTGCATAATATTCAATCATGTATATGTACCACATTTTAAAAATCCACTTCACTTTTGATGGACAGCACGGGTGAGTCCGTTTTTGCTATTGTGAATAGTGCTGCAATAAACATGTGTGTGCAGGTATCTTTTTTTGTAGAATGATTTGAGTTCCTCTGGAAGGTCGATTTTTGATCTTTTAGAAATGGCAACATTGTTTTCTACAGAGCTTGTACTAGTTTACACTCCCACCAACAGAGTAGAAGAGTGTTCCCTTTTCTCTGCATCCTCTCCAGCACCTGTTGTTTTTTGAGTTATTAATAATGTTCATCCTGACTGGAGTTAGGTGGTACCACAGCGTGGTTTTGATTTGCATTTCTTTGATGATTAGTGAGGCTGAGCATTTCTTCAAGGTTGCTCATATGTCTTCTTTTGAGAAGTGTCTTTTGCCCACTTTTTAGTAGGGCAAAAGACCTTTCTTTCAGCACATTTGAGTTCCTTGTAAATCCTGGATGTTAGGTCTTTGTCAGATAGACAGTTGGCAAACATTTTTTCCAATTCTGTGGGCTGTCTCCCCCACCGTCTTAATGGTTTCTTTTGCTTTGCAGAAGCTTTTCAGTTTGATGAGGTCCCACTTGTCTATCTTATCTCTTATGGCATGGGCTTTTGATCAGGAATTGGTTGTCTATTCCAATTTCTGTAAGGGTGTCTCCCACATTTTCTAAGATTCTTATAGTTTTAAGTTTTATGTTTAGGTCTTTGATCCACATAGAGTTGATTTTTATGTATGGAGATAGGCAGGGATCCTGTTTCAATTTTCTGTATGTGGACAGCCAGTTTTCCCAGCACCATTTACTGAATAGGTTCTCCTCTCCCCAGTGGTTGTTGGTAGAGACTTTGTCGAAGATGAGTTGAAAAGCCAGTATTTTCAACTATTACCTCACAAAGGCTAAGTAAGAGGATTGGGACAGGCAAAATAAAAGGTTAAGTAACAAAGAAAAATGCCAGAGTATATTTAAATAGAATTAAGTATCTTACAGAGGTAAAAATTATACATGAAAGAGATAAATACTTAACAGCAGTCTCAGTTTTAATAGAATCAAGCCATTGCTGATAATACCATCAACACTCTTACTAATATACTACCACCATTGTTAAGGGAAACAGTCAAAGCTTACTCCATGCCACTGTCAGGCACTGTCCTTTACATAAATTACCCATCTAAATGCCACAACAATCCTATGAGGCAAATATTATTAGACAAGAAAAGTGAGGGATAAAAAGATTATGTAATTTGCCCAAAGTATTAAGTGAAGAACCGGCATTTAAATCCAAGTAGTATAACTCCAGAAGACCGTGCTCTTCATAGTCATGTGTTGTTTCCCCAAGACCAGAAAACTCACTTAAAAGATACAAGATGTCCTAAAAAACTGACCAGGGATTTTACTCAAGTGTTATACATTTTTATGTTTTTCTATATTCTGAGTTTTAGAAATTCTACTAATCAAACCCAAAGGCAAAGAATCTTTACCTGACTGTCTGGGTACCATCGTCTTGAAGATGATAAGCTCTAGCAGCATTCTTCTTAGCCCATTCAATATGTTCTTCTTGGTTCCATGTTCCCACAACCACTGAGGTTTTCCCACTATCCTTGTCCTAATATATAAAACAAATTTGTGATAATGCAATGCTTTGATATCACCAAGTAGACATTTATGCAGATGACCTGACCCTCCAGTAAGCTACAGTCCTTTTTTTTGTGTGAGTCAGTCTCACTCTGTAGCCCAGGCTGGAGTGCAGTGGCATGATCACGGCTACCGCAGCCTTGACCTGCTGGGCTCAGGTGATCCTACCGCTTTGGCTTTCCAAGTAGCTGGAACCACAGGCATGCACCACCACACTGACTAATTTTTTGATTTATTGTAGAGATGAGGTCTTGCCAAGTTGCCTAGGCTGGTCTCGAACCCCTGGACTCAGGCAATCCTCTCGCCTTGGCCTCCCAAAGTGCTGAGATTACAGGCTTGAGCCACCACGCCTGGCTACTGTGAATCTTAAACAATCTGTGGCTTCTTTTACCCTGCAGCATATCTTCAACCTGCTTCTACTCTCTCTTTCAACTGTAAACCTTCAAGTTATACTGGCCTTCACACTACTCATTTGACATTATGCTTATCTCTGTACCAAACTGTCCAGAAATCCTTTTCCTTATTCTGTCGTTACTATTTTTCAAAACACTATCTTATATGTGGACTTCCTTCCTTCCTTTTCTCTCCTTCCTCCTTCTTCTAACACCTTACCTCCCTTACGTCATATTTTATGCCAGGCAAGTATACTAGGCACTAATATACACTGGACTAGTAGAATTAAAAATCTGTACAGTGGCAAATAAACATGGAGGGCCAGTGTCCTAGTGGAGCTTGTTGCCCAAAGGAAGAGATAGCCATTAAGATTTTTCAGCACTAGTCTGTAAATCCCAGACACAGAGGGACTAGAGCAGCAAAGTGAAGGGGTTAAGAAGCTGGAACACAGAACCAGACTGCCTGGATTCATTTCCAGTTTCATCATTTGCTACCTATGTGATTTTAGCCAAGTAAGTTAAACTTTGTTTCTGTTTCCTCATGTTGCAATAACATTATCCATTTTTTAAGGTTGTTATGAGGAGCAAATGAGTTAATATGTGTAACGTACTTAGTGCCTGGCATACAGTGAGCACTATATA